TTAAATATTTTCCTGTCAAGAAGAGCATTTTGTTTATTGCTCAACTTAATTTGAGTATATTCGGTTATGTGTCCATCGTTATCAGGATACATGATTGGTCTTTGATAATTTGTATTGTTATTTTCTCTAAATCACGTGAGATTTGCATATCCTTTTTTAACTTTTTCAGAATCAGAATTACTTGAAGATTAAGACATTTTAAATTACACAAAGAAAAATCTAATCGGTTTAAAAACTGATTAGAAACTTTAATAAAGTTTGCTTGTTTTTACGTTGATTCGTGAACACGAATCGTCGATACATATGATGTATGAATCGATGATACGATTCGATTCCAATCTCATCACGAATCGTGTAGCAAACGTAGCAAACTAAATAATTTTATTCACTCCCTGGTAATTTATTACCCTTGTTTAATTCAACTCCGTGTTTGAAATAGACTACAAGGCAGTAGTATAGTATTTGTATTTGTGTTTTTCTTTCTTCTCTCCTCACTCTTTTTTTTTTTCATCAGAAATTTTAAAGATTGTTCTACAAACGCCATCTTGACTGAAGCCTGCGACGTTTTTGAGATACAATCTTTAAAATTTGGATTACTGGAATTTTTACAAGAATTATTTTTATAGTAGTTTAATTTAAAGAAAAAAAGTTAATGAAATTTTATTAATATAAAAAAAAATTAATTTCTCTTTCTTTTAGATTTATAAATATATTCAATTGCATTTTTTCTATTTTTAATTATCTCATTGATTCGTAGACAAATATCTTTAGGTGCTTTCAATTTGTTTTTTTCTTTTTCTGTGATCTAACCATTCTTTAACCATTTATCGATTCTCTTTTCAATAAACATCAGATATATATTTTTGTTTTTTGTTTTGAGTATTAATTTACCTTCGTCTTTATCTACCTCTAAGATTTGTAATATACGAATAAATTCATCAATATAAGAATCACATGAGTTTTCTGAGTTATCAACTGATTTCTTGATAAAATAATGATCGATTAATCTTTTGGATGTTGGTATTTCTAATCTAGTAAATTTTTTTTTTGAACCTAAATATGCTAATCTATCTGCTTGTTCATTCTCATAAATACCACTATGTCCTTTCACATAATTAAAATATGTTTTGCCTTTACGCTCTTTGATTAAATCGTTAAATCTATTAACTAAATCAAAAATTTTTTTGGGTTTTTTAACATTATGAGAATTAATAACATAGAAACTATCAGTATTAATTATTAAATTTTCATTTTTGTCACATATTTCGAGAGCTCTGATTGCTGCATATATTTCTGCATGATTGTTAGTTTGTTGTTCACCTAGAAGTCGTTCAGACAAGTTTCTCGGATCTTTATCTTTAAAAAATACTCCAATACCTCCAATAGCATCTGATAATCTATTTTTTTTACAGAATTCATCAGTCCAAATATTTAATTTGTCTTTAACTTTGATATTTTGTTGATCTATAAAATCTTGAGCCTCGATCTTTGTATAAAATGATTTATACAAAGCTCCAGGGCATCCTTTTACATATTCTTCACATTCTTTCCATGATAGAAAAATTCCAGTTTTTCTTCCTTTAGCAACAGCGTAATATTTTATTGATGATATTTTCGGTATCTGGAATTACAACATAAATAATTCAAGTAAATGAATCACAATTATGAATACCAGTCGACAAACAACTGACTATGAAGTCACCGAGTTAGCAGAAGTGAGAGTTAATAATAGTTATTACATAAAGTAAAGATCATTATAGGTTGTGAATCTCTCTCACCTTTGAAGAAGTAAATAGTTAAGATTACGTGAAAAAAAATCTAATCGGTCTTTAGAGACTGATTAGAAAATTGTTTATTAAAATATATCAAAAATATACAGAAAAATATAAGGATTAGGAATAAACAAAGGGAGAAGGCTTTCGCAAGTTCGATCAAACAGAAAAAAAGGTTTGAACTGATCTCTAACGAAATTACTTCTATTATAAAAAAAAAACAAAAAAAGAAATTTTCCACCTTCGATATTAAATTAGTTAATTATAAATTTAATTTTGAGTTTATTGTTTGTCGTATCCTTTAGTTTTGCTTTAGTCTTTTTGTATTCGATAGTATTTGTTATGTCTTTTAATTTACCTTCGTATCGTTGCTTGTATTCAATTACACGGTTCAGCACGGATTTGTCATCATAAGCGCCATAGAATCTGCATTTATGAAGTTGTTTATTTCGACGATTATCATAGACCCAAGTATTCATTGATTTGTCGTAGTATATGTTTTCGATTCCAGAAGTAGTATTTGTTCTCATTTTTTTTT